AGTAAAATACATGTATAATCCATTGCTGTATAGTTTGAAACTTCAACCATAGGATAGGATACCAAGTGACTCACATAGAGTGAATTAGTAAGAGAAAGTTAAATAAAGATGAATTCCATGGTATTCGAAACTAGAAAGTATGGAAGGTATACATTACATATAGAATAGTCACACAGATCTGTGATAAAAACCATGTGTATGCCTCCTAGTACAACACTTACAAGAAATGAACACAAACAAAGAGCAGTGAGACACTTCAAAAGTATAAACTAAAAATCCAAACCTCTACATCAAATGACAACATTGACAAAGACCTCCATCAATGCTCATGACACAGCAGACTACATTAGTACAAGTGTCAAAGCCACACCAATTCAATGAATGTCCTATTGTGTGGTAAAATACACAGCATTTTAAAAAGTAAACATTGAGGGCATCAGTCATTTAAATTATTCCAGGCACTTTAAACTGAATTGAACATGGTGAAAATAACAGAACAATCAACTACTGTTTTCCATAACAACATTGAGTAAGTGGGGTGTAGAGTATTCATGATCAATACTTAATTATTTTAAATAAAAAACTAAAGAAAACCATGTTGGGTAATAAATACTTTTTCAGCCATCACCCAAACAATACCACTCAAACTATCCTACAGACCCAAAACAGATAAGGTTAATCCTATAAATTTTTTATTGGAATTCCAATGTAAGTTTGTTTTTAAAATCTTTAGCCAGACAGAAAAAAAAACACCCTTTGCCATATACTTGGGGGAAAAAAATAAAAAGAGACATTGATCAACCAGCTAAATAACAGGTTAAAACCTGGCCGCTTGTTAATTCTGAATACAAATTCGTGACTGGTGTGCACCTATACCCAACTTTCCCTGAATGTACATATGTACTGTGGTAATTTCAGCTGACAATAAACACCACCCAGACAGACCACCTGTTGATCTACGTGAAAATAATCCAACTATTTGAAACTTTACATATAATCAGTTACCGATCCTATATAGAATAAGATGACAATTAGAGAACACTCACACAGATATGTGGTTACTCCACCTAGCATAATAACACCCACCAATTGTTGGATCCAAAATGTCTCATGAACTACAGTATGATACTACTAGTAGACATCTTAAAAATAAACAGTCCAGACTTACATGTCTAACACTGCCATTCCACCAGGCATTTCCTGCCCAACCTGAATATATTAAGCATACCACAAACTCTACTAACCTTAACGGATGAATTAGTATTAAAAACCATGTCTGTGACACAAGCCAATTACATGCACATCTGAAATCTGAACATTAAAAACACTCCAGCGTATATCCGGACAACAACTGTCACAAAAGTAATCATTGCATGCACTGGGGACAACAGAGTTAATTTAAATACAACCAATATGAAGGAATTCTAATAGTTGTTTATTTCAAGAATGTTTGGCATTCCAGCACACTCTGGGTAAAGAGTTTTCTTCCTGTCAACCCTCAAGAGATGCTCAAGTCAAGTATGATAATTTGTATACCATAAATCTATCATCTGATATGGAGAAATAAATTACTTAATTTAATAGAGTACAGTCATAATTAACAATATAAAGTAGTATCGTATCTCACGTAGTAACTGTCACAAGCAGGCATGAGATGTGATCAAGTTGTCTACACATTCAGTGATTAGATTAGAATTAAAAAGCATTTCCAGGGTGAGCTGGAAACTGACAAAGCTGCACCTCATCGTGCCCTACAGGAAATCATACAGGGAATATTGAAATTCGCAAATGTCATGAGTACAAAAACAGTTTTCTGGTCTCAAGAATTGTGCAGCTTCACTCGAGACTGACTCAAAGTAAACAGACCATTAAACAGTGTGTACATGTAGATCATCAGTATCATTACCACGTAAAACAGAGTAAGGTATAGGGAAGATCTACTTTAAGGCACTTCAAGTCAAAATTTGCACGAGTGAGCATGTTATGAATTGCATTGTGTGAGAAAACTTCCCATTGTACATAATGGGAAAACTGACTAAATGCCATTTTTTTAAATGTTTAAACAATACTAAGATTCCCATCAATGACAATACTCTATGTCCTGATCAAAATTTCAAGACATGAAAAAACAATTTCACTATAGTAACCAGTGCAATAAAGCCAAATTTGACCATTTTTCATGACATTTCAGGCACAAAAAATTGCCTGGTGACCCAAACCAGACAATTAACACAACATCTGTTGAAGCCAATTTTTCCAATTCATTTTGGCTATGTCTTGAAGCTTTCAGCAGACGATCTGTTAACCCATAATAACGATAGCATGGAGAAGACGACGTATAATCTTCAACATGGCTTGAACCTCTTTAAGGCCTTCACAGAATATTAAATATGGACAATTAATCAAATTATTTCAAAATAATTACATTAAAATAATCAATCAAGATAAAATATTGTTGTCTTTATTTAATTTTTCAAAAAAAAAATTTGTGAAAAATTACTATAATGGTACCAAATGACCATGGATGAAAATAAAAGAATGTGACATTAAGTGGCATATAATTATGATAATATCTTGCAAATGTTGTTTAAACAACAATTCATTATCCATTAGCTGTCTAAGTGCAGTTTGCATGTGCACGAGGATGAACCCACAAACAGTAATAATTAATGCAAAAAAAAATAGTTATCATCAGAAGTACCCATCTTACAGCTACATAAATAGTGAACACAATTTAGAGATATGATAAGACCTTTTTACCATAGAAACCAATGACGACTGGACTTCTTTATCTGGCTTTTATGAGCAATTCAATAAAATCAGAAATGTCAAGTAAAATTGATTATCTGATTTAAATGGTAGCCAAATACCCCAAGAGACTCTCTGCCTCAAAGTATTCATTGCATAGTGGACTTTGTTAGAATCAATGTCATGTTTTTATGACAGGTATATGTACAGGTTAATTTGTGTAAGAATCTATAGTAAAAGAAATTGTCTTACACTCAAGTTCATTTGACTGTCCCAATCTGCAGTGGTTACTATATTTTGTTTATTAAAAGTGCATCTCCAAGAGAAGGGCATATAAAACACAAGTCATTGTTAATGACACAGTCCCTGTTGCAATTAGGGGAAATGTTATTCAAGTCAGATCGTTTTTATCTGATCACAAATTGAATTGTTATGAACATGTATTGAAAATTACTGGTCAAGTGACCAGGTGAATTGATTCTGAGTGAATTTGGTCAGTAATTGATAGCATAAATAATAGACTAATAGACAGATTTATTAAACTTTATATTACTATTGCTATGATTTCATGGCAGGGAATTAAGGCACTTCACAAAAGCATAAGTCACAACATGAACATGTACCGAGCGACTAACATACAATGTATACAAAGTGAAGATTACACTTTGCATACCAATATAAATGTGGGATTACAATCAGCATAAATACAATGGATTTACAAAAATAAGAATAGGTCATGTGACGAAAAGTTGTATACCATTCTATGCAAAGGAGTCAATATGTTATTTGTTATAATTCATATACTAAGTTTGTCTTCAGTTACGAAGCACTTACTTATGAAGAAAACATTAATGTAAGTACCAAACGGTATTTAATGGGGGGTGAAAAACACTTTAATTTCAGTTCCTTTTCCACAACAATACAGATACAATGCACTGACTATTATAGACGATTGACAAAGCTTACAGTATGAGCTGACTGCAGAATTAGTGACTAAAAAGACATCAAAAGTTCAGTGACTTCTTGTTTGACTTGCTTAGTACACTAGTACATGAGAAGCAGTCAATACAATGCAATACAGTGCAGTGTTTTGCATATTTTTATGTACATCTATCCTTTATTTGTTAATTTTGAAATAAGTTGACATGACTTTGAGTTGTCTACAGACTTGATCACATTTGGGGGGGGGGGGGGTATGGAAAAAATGTTAGGTTTATTTTGTGGAAGACAACATTTAATTTTTTTTTCTTTAAAACCTTTTTCATTTACCGGTACTTTATTTATAAGTATATTCAATGAAGCATGTTTTTGTAAAAAAAAAAAAAAAACGATATATGTATCTCTGTATAAAGTCTATGATATGTGAGGCTTTCCCTGTGAACAGCTCCCTCAAAGTTTGAACTATTCAGGAGTGGAAGAATAAAATACCTATTTTCAAATTACAATTTTTCTCTTCATCCACTTCTTCAAGATAAAAACGCATTTTGTTTGACCACCATGCAGTAATAATACAAGCACACATGCTAAGCAATACAGAACTTATTATACATACATACATGCATGTCACACCCAGGGAATAGACAACGCAGACAATATCTTTTATACATACATTTCATCCATAGACTAGAGTCACATGCTTACAACATTTGTCAATTTCTGCAATACTCTCACAGCAAAATTCCCACACAAACACACTGGATTTCTAAAACAGTCAAACTGAATTTTTCATGTTGTGACAAATGATGCATAGTGTAAAAAATAAATAGTGTACAGCTACCAACAACAACTGTCACAGGAACATTTTATAAGAGTAACTCTGTACCGTCATTGTTTAGTTATTGAATGCAGGAGAAAAATAAAATTCAGATTTCAACTTAATGCTATATTATTAAGCCCTCATTAACTTTGTTGTGTACATTTCACATTGTTTTATATAATAAGCGACCTAATGGTTAAAAAAGTTTCTTTTTTTCACAAAAAATTAAAATGTCTTCACAAAATGAACAAATCTGACTGAGGTTCCCCATGGTACTTGCGAATAAAGTATCAAAGCAATTGAGCTAGTAGTTTTCAAGAAGTCAAAGACAACATTTTTGATAGTGTTAACAAAACATATAGTTTTTTTTTAATTTTAGTGCTTAGTAGTTTAATAGTAGACAAATTCAAAACTCCTACACATACACACTAAAAACAATTGCTTACTACCGATACATTGAAAGCTGCAAAATAAGCAAATCCATAATGTGGCCTACCTTTTCACTGATTTTCTTGTGAGTCCAAGGGTTCGGAGTATTGAGTCTGATAAAGTAGGCGTTACAGGTGATTTAGATGAGGATGGTGTTGAATCCTTTTTCTCTTCTGTAATAACTGAGTCATTTATTTCAGTATTCATTGATGTATCAGATTCAACACTATCACCTTCTCTTGTGCTCTCCGTTTCCGATGCTTCTGATAATTCAGGCATTCGAAATTTAATGTCTTTCTTCTTCTGCAGCTTGTTCTCCTGAAAAAAGAAGAATATAAAAATGTTTGCCTAATTACTTTGTGAAATTCTGCTATCGATACAGTCTTATGTATGCAAGCCTATCAAAATGTCACACAAATATAATCAATAAATTTTTAAAAGTTCAATA